CAATTAAGCTTTTGAGACTTAACCTGATGAGCAGCAACTGTGAATGTGCCCATAGCAGTAGCATAATAAGTCATGAGAGCATAGAATGCCACCTAAAAGAATAAAAGTCTTAGACACAGTTCAATCAGATACAAGCTGATACAGCAGAAGAATCAAATTGTTCTGAACAAAACCTTTGAGAACATTGTTATGAACACTGGAGCAGCAATGGCTAATATTTGCAGAAATTCTTGGGGTGATGGAATGGAGACTGCAAAAGCATTATATCCTTTCTTGTTCAATGCTTCTATCATCATATAAGCTGCAACAAGCTGGAAAAAATGCGAATGAGTGGCAACACTTAAAAACAGTACAGGGCTATGTAAATTAAGCAACAGATAATAGCTATCTACATTCTCATTCAGCTTACTTGGGAGGCCATTGTCGCCCATGCTGCCCCAGTAATACCATAACCCAACAAGCTGCAGAGAACTACATGACCAATGCCATTTACAGCACTAGCAACCACTAAAGCCTTTAAAGGTCCCACAGAGTCTTTCATGCCCAGACTGTTAACCAGAGAAAAGACATAAGAATGCAACACAACTAAGAAATTTTTGGCAAGAAGAATCTTCAATCATTTATAGACATCTTGATGATATGTATGTGATCAATTAAAGCATAGATGCAGCAAAAGTACTCGTATGCCTAAGTATTTGCATTAAAATATGAAGTACGACCATAAGTAATAAATATGTCTGTACTTAGTAGTTAGTACCTTGCACTTTGAGCAACCAATCCATAAAGAACCGCAGGCCATGATAGACCTCGAATCTGCAACAGAATAAATTCCATTCATTTATATGTAGAATGTACCCTGTGAAGAAATAAGACAGGAAAAATGCTCTGTACAAAGGAATTCTTGGTGATTATCCCCTAAACATAAGTTGTAATTACAAATCTAGCAAAGTTTAAGAATATGAACCTGAACATATTTGCTAGCTACAGGTACAATATGAGCATTTTTGGGTCCAGCAAAACCTAACACATAGCAATATTAGGAAATTTAGCAAACTGCCACTGCAATTAACTGCTCTTTTTATAATTTTATTAACAATTAGGTAAAATGAATAAAACTAAACACAGAAGCACCACCATTCTGTATTACCAGTTAATGCCCATGAGCCGAGGAATTGCGTGAACAAAAGCATTAAGAAACCACAAGACAACCCAACAAACAACAAGATAGATATCCGATGCTGCACTTCATTCTTATCCTGTACTAATTGCTAATTAGTCAAAAACTCGGCACATTTATGGTAAATCCAGCATTAAATTCACAATTAAAAGTGGAAAAGAAAGAAAAATGCCCCAAGAAGCTAACCCTTTTGGCAAGTGAAGTAGCGACCATATTCGAAGTAGCAATTGAAAGGAACATGAACAGCAGGTTCATATTATCACAGAAAACAGTCCCGGGACCTGCATTCGGCAATTAGTAACCTAGGATTTGCAAAAAAATCCGAGAAATTAAATGATAATAACGAGAATTACCTAAAGCAGCAAGTTCTGTAGAACTTCTCTGCCCAACCACGGCGGTGGAGATGAGACTCATCAATGGCGCGCAGATCCACAGACCCGTCGCCGGCCCCGAAAACATCATGATCTCTTTCATTTGACTCCATATACTCTGATTCGCCAATTCCGTCCTCTTCTTAACTTCAATTACTTTCTCCTCTTTCTCTACCTCAGACACCAAAATCAAATCTGGATCATCACTCCCGATTTCAGGCTTCTCATTGTCGGTAATTCCCTGGATCCGGCTAACACAACCGATTACAAATCTATTCCGGCGACTTCCATGGTTTGAAATGCGTAAGTTGAGAAGTGGAAGAGCAGAGGTGTGAAATGCATGTGCGAGTGAAGAAGGGGACGATCTCTTGAAGGGAATTGAAGGTTTGAGATTAGGGTTTTGGAGAAGAGTGGAAGAGGAAGAGAGATTCAGAGCTTTGATCTGCATTTTTGCATATGAATTCGATTTGCAGAAGAGAAGAGGAGAAAGGGAAGAAGAACATAGGAAAGGAGGAAGAAGAGTGGATGGTTTAAGTGTTCCTGCTGCTGGAAATTTGAAATTTTGTTTGAGCCGCCGGAGCCTATGCGGCTTGGCTTTTGCTTACCTCCGGCTCTAGTTACGCTGCTCTTACTGCACGAGTTTGAGACAGCCCGGTTAGGTGGTATATTTTTATTATTCTGTAAAAAAAATTTTAAAATAGAATAAAAAATTTGTAAAATAAAATAAACCCCATGGGTCACGGCGCCGCCGCCTGGTTTTGGAAGGCAATGGAGTACCGCCTAGTGCTTAGGCAGCTCCTAAGCATTGTTTAGGTGAGTTTTTTTCGCTTTTGCAGCTACATTTAGCAGGAAAATCTTCTGTAACTTGCCTGTTTAGTAATATTATTAGTCTTTAGTTTTTGTTTTTGGTTACTAATTTAAAAATAACAAAAATAGTATAGTTTGGATTTTAAAAATAACAATATTCTTTTTAATGTATCATCACATGAAGATTTATTGAAGATAAATTTATATTTTTAAAGCTCGTATCGCTTTTTTTATACAATTGCAATTGTAAAATATATTTTTTAATTAAAATTAGCATTTAAAAGTTAAAATAAAAAATTAACTATACAGTTTTTAATATAAATTTTCAAAATCAATAACTAAAATTAAAATTTTGTCAATTTATTAAATTTTTATTTTAATTTAACTTTTTAAAATTTAAGTTCCCAATAAAACACTAACAATAATAAAACACAAAAAAGGGTGAATAAAGTTTTTTTTTTTTCTAATTGTACAAATTGATAAAAATTAAGACATTTTAAAAACAATACTTGCAATAAAAATAAAATTAAAAAACTAAAATAGTCAAAATATATTAGAATAAAAAATTTTATTAAATATATTTAAAATATCATAACATAGTGATTTTGCTTTTTCCGAGTTATTAATAAGGGGAAGCTGTGGAACCTCCATACATTAATAAAAGTTCCAAAAAATAAAAAAACCATAAATAAAAGAAAAATGGG